GAAGGGGTGCCCACATCCTGGGCAGGATGGGCTGGGTGCTGCCAAGTATATCATCTCATCCCTGGAGTCAGCCCCATTCTCCAAGTGAGAACACCAAGGCCCAGAGAGGACAAGTGGCTTGCCCAGAGTCATCACACTGCTGGGAAGTAGAGGAGCCAGATATATGGCCCAGGGGTGCTGGGTGATTCTGGCCATTGCTGCCCTTGTTGGGGTGTCTACTGGGGTCTCTGCAGCAAGGAACCCCTATTGCTTTTGGTTCTGAATCTGAGATGGGGACAGATGGGGAGCTATCCTTGGAGCCTTTGAGCTACCAGCCCAGGATGTATGCCAAACATAATACCAACTCTCAGACCACTTCAAACTCCAGTAGAGAATGTAAACCCTTCTTATAGGCGTTCAGAGTTCCTGAGAGGACTCAGGTGGGGCCAGGACCAGTTACCAGTGCTAAGATATTAAGTACCTTATCTTATTTCATCCTCTGGTAAGCCCTGGGGTGGGTGCTATTATTTATTCCCATTTTACAGATGAAGAAACTGAGGTTGCAACAGGAAAGAATCTATGCCAGAATTTGAGCCCTAATCTTTCTGGCTCCAGGGCAGGAGGCTGCCTGTCTTCAGGTCACCCAATCAAGGGGCTTGGCTCTGCCTCGGGAGCACAGGATTCCAGGGAGCTGGAGGCATGCGCTCTGCAAGGTAGATGGCACCAACCCCAGGGAGCAGCTTGGGGCTGGGTTGTGGCCAGGAGTGTGACAGCACACATTGTCCTTGTGGGGTCACATGGCACCCACCTAGGGCAGCAGCTCCTTAGTTTACCATTTCCTGCATGTTTGTCCCTCAGTTCCTCACATGACCCTTGGATACTCCTAAAAGCTGGCCAGCAAGCAGACTTGGGGTGATTAAGCCCATTTTGTAGAAAAGACCAGGAAAGGAGGGGTGACATGCAGGTCATACAGTAAGTGGATGGCAGAGACAGGTGAGCAGTTGGTGAGACTGACTATGGACAGTGTCCACTGACCACAGGCAGAGCAGTCACCTTTTTCCAGCTGAGCCAAACTGACCACAAGCCTTAGAGGCCTGGGCTGAAGCCACAGAGCCGGGGCAGGAAGGCAGGTGGCAGGCTGGCCTCGGCTGGCTGCCACCCACTTCTCCACCGAGGCTGAATTGCCACCAGTTAGGGACCTTTCTCTCCAGAAACTTCCTGGCTTTCAAGTCCCTTTCCTCCCCCAACCTCCTTGTGAAGGAGAACACTCCCCCCTCAGATGGCTCTCAGTGATTATAAACCTGGAGAGACACATACAAGCAATAAGATCTGCTCAAAGACAAATGGACATATTGCTGATGAGAATCTCATTTGGTGAATGGCAACGTCAAAATCCTGCACATCATGTCTGCATAATCGTGCCCACCGAACAGCACCGGCCCCCAGGGCAAGGATGTGCACATATACACAAGCAGGTACACACAGGGCACGAGTCAGAATGCCCATGCAGGAAACACAGGGCACACAAACAAATCCACATCCATGGTACATGTGTGCAAACATCCACAGTCACATGTACACACTCACCGCCACTTTCATACATAAGACAAACACAGGCACCTCTAGAAACACCAACCAACACAAACCCACTCAATGTACAAACACAAACGAAAATGGACACAGAACAGGTGCACAGAGACAAATGTGCACAAAGATGCAAATGGTTTCTGTGGGCACACAGTTGCCAACCCAGTATATCACCTCCCACCCACTTACAGGGGAACTCATGCGCGCGCACCACACCAAGAAGAGGGCATGATCTCACACACACACACACACACACACACACACACACACACACACTACTAACTGGTGTCTCATTTAGCAAAACTTCCCTGAGAACTCCATTTTCTCTAAGTGGGGCATTCACGCCAGGAAAGTCTCAAAGACACCCTGAAACACAGGGCGCCTCCATCTACCGTCTCCAGGGACTGGACGTGCCTTTCCATCTCCCTGGACCTAGGCCCAAGGGATTCAGGAAGGGGCCATGTTGGACCCAATTACTAGAGCTGGATGGGAAGAAGGAGCTCACCGTCACGTCCCTGCTCCCAGTGACGCGCTGAGCAGGATGGCTTTGAGGTACAAGGGACTGGAAGGGCCTGACAGGGATTCCTGGGGCCACTTTTGCTGGGGATATGCTCTGGCAGGCCTCCCCTGGCCCAGAATGCCTCTGGTCACTGTGCCTGGGCACATTTCCTTTCCCTGGCAACGCCCGTACTGGCCTATCAGACCAACCTGGCCATCGTCTATCATTCTCCTCCCAACCCAAAACTGAGTGCCAGAGACCTGCTTCCACACCTGGGCATACCTGCCCCCAACTGGCATTCCTGGGCACACGTGCCTCCACCTACCATTGCCCATCGTCAACACCTGCACATTCTCAAATTCCAGGGTGGTGTAGGCTGGGTCCAGCGCAGCACTGTAGTCGGCCATGTCCATGTCGACCAGGGTTTTGGAGAGGCGCATCCTCCCCCTCCACTCCTCAGTCACTTGCCCTGCCCAGGATGCCCACCCGGAAGGCTCCAGGCCGAGCCGGCCCCCGCCCTTCACCCTCCCCCTGCCTCCTCCCAGGTGCACTCTCTGCCTTCCTGCCTTTCAAACTGTCCTCTGGGAGGATCTCCCGGAGTCTGGGCCTAGCCGCCCAAAAGGGGTGGAGGCTCTGCCAGGGAGGGGTGGGGGTTAATGGTTAATCGGCTCCCCCACTGGTGGATAGTCTGGGCGGGGCTGCAGGGATTTGGCTGTTTGTTGGTTTCTGCCTGACACCAGGGGTGCTACTACAACTGGTGGGGCCTTACTCACCAATATTCAGTTATTGATTCTGCAAGATGGAGAGGCTAACTCATCAGCACTCATTTGACCCCCCTGACTCAGCCACCCTCCAAGTCATTGTCACTCCAAGTCAGGCATTCTAGCTGATATGCTGGGACGCTGAGAGCCACCACCAAGGTGCCCTAATTCAATGACTTCCCAAATCATTGACTTTTACCCTTAATGCTCTTACAGATAAGCTGCCTCATGGCTCATGAATTAAAAACCCAAATCCCAGGCCCGACACCAATCTTCCTTCCCATTTCCTACTGCCTTTAGGAGCAGAATGGATAGGCAGTTTGGTAGGGCCAGACTCACCTCTGGTTCCACTCCCCTGCTCCCCAGTACCCCACTCTGGCCACCATAGCTCCACAGCGCCCAGCTGCTCAGGCCCAGACCACCTCCATCTCCCATTTCCCTGTCACAGTCTCCTGGTTCCCTCCCTCCCTCGCCCCAGAACAGGCAGAGACAAGGCTTGCAGCCCCACAGGCCCGGGTTTACAGTCAGACACCTACCACCTACTAATCGTGACCTTGGGCAAATTATTTTGGGTGAAATGCATTTTATAGAGGAGGAAACTGAGGCTCAATCAAGCGCCAGGGTGGTCTGAGTGTTAAGTGAGATGGCATTAATAAAGCACCAAACAGTGCCTAGCAAGTGTCCTTCCCTTCTGCTCCCTGACGCCCTTCTTGTCTCCCTCGTTCCTCTCCACCCGTCTCCTGTCTTTGGAGTGAGCATTGTGGGAATGCCACCTGAGCAGCTGCACACTGGGGTCTTGGGCTTGTTTTAATGCTCTGCTGTTGCTGAAATTCTTAATAATTTCTGAACATAGGGCCCTGCCTTTTCATTTTGGACTGGGCCCTGGACATGGTGCAGCTGGTCCTGTCGGCCTTCAGCTCATGGCTCATCCATTTCTCCTCATACCTCCAGTCCTCATTGCCCTCTCCACAGACACTTCCATGAGCTCCCAATCTAGCTGGAGAGGTAAGGTTGCAAAGTGAAAGGTAGAAATCACTGGGCAGAGGTAGAAGGACCGAGGCTTGGTGGCCTAGAGCCTGTCCTCTTTCAGCTGAAAGGACTAAGGTGGCAGGATTTGTTAAAACAGTAAGCAAGAGTGGGTGAATTAGTGAGAGAGATAATTAGTGAGAGTGGGTGAATTGGTGAGTGAACTAATGAGTGAGTGGGTGAATGAGTGAGTGAATTTGCCCAGCCAGTGTGGCTCAGTGGTTGAGCATCTTCCCATGAACCAGGAGGTCACGGTTCCATTCCAAGTCAGGGCAAGTGCCTGGGTTTTAGGCTTAATCCACAGTAGGGGGCATGCAGGAGGCAGCTACCAATGATTCTCTTTCATCATTGATATTTCTCTCTCTCTTTTCCTCTCTCTGAAATCAATAAAAAGAAAAAAAAAAGAGTGAGTGATTACAGACAGGGTGAATTCATGTGTGAATGAGTGAATTAATGAGTGGGTAAATTAGTGAACTAATGAGTAAATGAGTAAATAGATGGATGAATTAATGCGTAGGCAAATCAGTGGGAGAGGCGGTGTGTGTTTGAGGGGGGTATGGAGGCACCCTCCTCATATTCTTTCAATTATTAAAAGCCTTCTCTCTGCCCTGCGTAGCTTGTTCTCCCAGAGCTGAGATAAGTGGGGTGGGAGGTGGGGAGAGCAATTGTTCAGAAGGAGAAGAGAGGCTGGATTTGTGGTCGAGAGACCTGAGTTTAGGAATTAGCTCTGTCACCATTCAGATAACTTTGTTTAAATCACATCTCTCTCAGGGTCTCAATTTCCCTCTCTGTAGAATGGGGAGCAGATCCTGGCCCATTTGTTATATCAGGATAAGAACCCAAGGGAGGGAGAGAGAGTGCTCCCCGCCACATCCCACACTTTGAGATTCCATAAGGGCCTGAAGAAGATTTCAACTACTGGTGGGTCCCCCCCTGCCCCGCAGGGACATCTGATCCTGACTCCAGTGGCCTTGGGGGCGGTGCTGAGCTGGGCTGGAGACCTGACTAAGGGATAAGCACAAAGGGGAAGGAGGGGCAGCTCTGGGGGGGTGTCTCCAAGGGCTGACTCCAGGTCCTGCCACCTGTCTGGCACCTGTGACAAGACACACACAGCTACTCCTCTCATAATCTAGCAATACATGCTACACATAGAGGCACATTCCAGTCTTTCCAACTTGCCAGGCACGATGGCTCCCGCAAAGAAGGGTGGCGAGAAGAAGAAGGGCCGCTTCGCCATCAACGAGGTGGTGAGCAGGGAGTACACTATCAACATCCACAAGCGCATCCATCACGTGGGTTTCAAGAGTCGTGCCCCTTGGGCACTCAAGGAGACCTGGAAATTTGCCATGAAGGAGATGGGGACTCCAGACGTGCGCATTGAGGCCAGGCTGAACAAAGCTGTCTGGGCCAAAGAAATAAGGAATGCCCCATATCATATCCGGGTACATTTGTCCAGAAAACGTAATGAGGATGAATACCTTGGTCGCCAGTGTGACCAGTGGGTCAAGAGTCAACTGTGTACCTTGGTCGCTTATGTACCTGTCACCACTTTCAAAAATCTACGGTTAGCCCTGACCGATTTGGCTCAGTGGATAGAGCGTCGGCCTGCGGACCAAAGGGTCCTGGGTTCGATTCCAGTCAAGGGCATGTACCTTGGTTGCGGGCATATTCCCTGTGACGGGTGTGCAAGAGGCAGCTGATCGATGTTCCTCTCTCATTGATGTTTCTAACTCTCTATCCCTCTCCCTCGCTGTAAAAAATCAATAAAATACATTTTAAAAAAATCTACAGTTAATGTGGATGACAACTAACTGCTGTTGGTTGAATAAGTTATGAAACTGTCACACACACAAAAAAGAGGCACATTCTACATTTCCAAAAGTGGACTGTGATTGTTGGCATGTCAGAGTTTAATTGGTAACAAATATAACAATCTTTCACTCTCTATAGATGACATCTTAGATTGAATCCAATAAGGTCTATGATCAACTAGGTTGAGCCATGTCATGCCACTTACATGACCGGTTGCATACAAGAACGACCAGGTAGACAGCCTGCACATGACAAGCAGCTAAGTATACAAACCATGACATACGCACTCTACCAAATGTACAACATATGACCTACTGTCTATGAGGTACATTCCTGAAACCTATTTCATACCCCAGACATATCCTACCCATCACAACGTACCCAAAAAATAAATCTACCCACACCTGAACTATATAACTTACATAACCTATTACATACATGATTTACCCCACCCTTAGCTGATGCCGAACAATGTATTCTAGATACTTGTTCCTCATCTAAACAACCCACCACCTATAAGATCTACTGGCTCTGTGGTCTCAGGCAAGTTATTATTTTGAAGCCTTGGTTTCTCCTTCTGTAAAATGGGCCTAATTTGTAGTTTCCTGTGACAATTAAATGAGATACTACTATAAGGTTGTTAGTCCCATCTCCAGGCCCCACCCAAACCCCAACCCGTAGAATCAACCACAGATCTTGAAATCAGAAAGACCTGGGTCAAAATCCAGGCACTGCCAGCTTCCCAAACTTTGTGACCACAGGTTCCACCTCACTCAGCCTTAGTTTGGCATTAGATAAATGGGTTGACGCGTTCTTCACAGTGACAGTTGGGCTATAATGGCCAAGTGTAGGCATATAGTGCAACAGTAGCAATTGCTGTCATTGGTGGTTGACTCTTGACCCACTGGTCACATAATCAGGACCCCTGCACAGAAGAGCTCCTAGCGATGGCATGCCCAGCCCTAAGCAAACCCTGGCCTCCACACCATCAACTCAGCAGCCCTTCTTTTATTAAAATTTTTATAAGAGCTTATTTGAGCCAAACTACTGACATATGCCAGGGATCAAGATCTCAAATGCTCCTCAGCAGCCCTCTTTACCTCTGCCCCCGCCCCCCCTTGGGCCATCAGACCCCAGCTCAACATGCAACAGCTCCCAGGGAATGAATAGCAAAGGCCCTCAGAGCTCGCCCAGAGGACAACTCCATGTTGCAGATGGAGAAACTAAGGGCTCGGGAAGGAAAGGAGGGGTGTCTTTTAGTGTTGCCCTGGGTAGCCGGGTGTTGGGGAAGGATTGCTGAGACCCAGCTGTGGGCAGGGTGCTCAGGCATCTGGTGTGGACTGTGGCTAAGGGAGCTGCCACTGTGAGCCACGTATTTTTCTTTTAAATTATAATAATGCCTAATGTTTCTGGAGAGTCTGTGCTAGACCCAGAGCTGAGAACTTTTCACTGTTCTCCCTTTACAGATGACAAAACAGAGACGCTGAGAGGTGATGTGACTTGCCTAAGGCCATACAGGTCATGACAAGAGGGGACGTGATCTGAGCTCTAGTATGACTCCGGAGCTGAGGGCTTCAACCCCTACATGCTGCCTCTGTCCTGGGGCCCCACAGAATAAGCTCAGAATCCTGGCGCACTGGGCTGGCGGGTCCACTGTCCGGTTCCTGCCAAGAGCCCAGAGATCTGAGAAGCGAAGGAGCCTGTCCCCAGCATGTGCAAGTTCAGGGGCATCCTCCAGAGCCCGGCTCCCCGGGCCGCCTGGCACCTTTGCGTCCCCTGGGTACTCACCACCTGCTATCTCCTGTTTCTTCTCCCCACCCACCGCTTGTGGTGCGGGAACCAGGGACTTATCAAGACAAAGAACAAAAGTCGTGGGGGAAAGAAGCCAAGAGCCATCTCCACTCTGGGGTAGGGCCCTTCAGTTTTGCCCCTTTGAAATTTCAAATTCCAGTTTGTGGACAAAGTCCTAAGTTTCTCACAATATAGGTCCCCAACCACTGACCAAACTCCAGTCCAGGCAGCCAGCAGGCCCAGGGCTGCTTCCTTTGGCAGCTCCCAAGGTCTGGGAGGAAGAGGTCCTGCCCCAGGGGGTCTGTCAGGCCATTCCTGCAGCTCCATCCCACCCCACAGGGACCCTTGCCTCGCACTTGAGAGGAGCCCTCTTCCTGGAGCTGGGATCTGATGCTTGTTGGCACCGACAGCAGATACCAGGTAGGCACCTTCCCTGTTCTGGGAATCTTTTCTGTCCCCTAGACTCCTAAAACACTGCTCATACCATCCTCCTCACCCCGGGGTACAGGCCACGTGGACTTAATCTAATTATGACCTCGCAGAAGATCGAGACATTTGGTGGATGAGGACACTGAGCCCCAGGGGAGTGGCTGCAGGTTGAGCCACAGACCCGGCCCCTCGCTAAGCCCCACAGGGTGGAAGGAACATACTCCAGGCCACACAGCGGTAGTGGGGGAGCTTTGCCTTAACACAAGCTCTGGGAGGACCCCTTTTATCCATCACAGCCCTCGAGGGTCTACCGCTTACAGACCCGGGATGGCGGTGTGTGTTCACTCAGTGACGGGTGGCCACTGGGTTGCCATGAGAGGAAGATGAGGGAGCTTGGGGCTGAAGGCCAGTGGGTTTGGAAGGAAACAACATTCATGTGGTTAACTGATAACTGAGCCCCATCCTTGGGCCTCCAGGAGCCTCCTTCCTCCCTGTCCTCAGCACAATTAAGACGAACTTACCTGCCTGCTAATCATTGCTGAGCCTGTTGATTTTGCCTTAAAAAATTAACTGGGCATGAGTTTGCGGTTTGCTTCACCCCTAACCCTGAAAAGATCTGGGTGGGCAGGAGGCCGCCCAGGTTATGCAAGAGGCCGTTGGCCTCCCCACGCACATCCTCTGCCTGCCCTCCAAAGGGGAGGTTTTGCTTAAGAGTCAACAGTTTGCTTGTTCCCCCTGTTCTGGGTCCTGAGCAAATTTGCTCTGTTACCAAAGAGAGATAAAGGCAGCTGGGGGGAAGCTTTCCATGTGAAGCGGCCGCTTTTGAGCTTGGGATTCGAGAATCCTGCAGTGTCAGAGCCAGGAGAGCTGTAGGAGGAGGTGGCCTGGGGCCTTTCAAAGTGGGTTCTGAGGTTCCCAGGAGCTAAGGGAGTGTGTGCACAGGCCCTGCTTCACCCAGTGCCTGCCTCTTAGGTGTGCTGGTCCTCAATAATTCATTTGAAAGGTTGAGCCAGGTACGGATAATGAGAACTGGAAGACTGCTGGTCCAGACTCATCCCCTCAGTCATTGTACAGATGGGGAGCTGGAGGCCAGAGGGGGGAAGCAACAGGTCACCCAGGGTATCCTGGGTCTCCAGCTAGGATAGGGAAGACAGGGGCTCTCTCTGGGACTCAGTGATGTATTCTGGATATTAGTGAACAAACGGTACTCAAACGCCCTCTTCCACCATTCACCCTCCCTCCCGGGGTTGGCTGGGGTCAGAGTGGCGCCTGAGAGCAACCAGAAGGCCTAAGTCAGGGAACTCACCTGGCTTTGTGTCCTGTGGGTCCTCAAGGAGCAGCCATGAGCTGAAACCAGGGGCTCCAAGTTCTAACTCATTTAGCCACGTCCTCTCTCTGCAGGCATCAGGCCATAGAGAAAGATGCAGAGCCCTACGCTGACAATCCCTCTGTGCCTCCGTTTTCTCACCTGTAAGTTGGGAACAACAATCCCTAACTCCTTGGGTTGTTGTGAGGATAAAATGGACTGAGACGTAGGCAATGAGGGGGCGCTCATTAATCTTCACAGCCGCTCTGTGAGGTAGGTCATGTTTTTATCACCCAGACCTGAGGCACAGAAAGGTTGAGTCATATGCCAACCTCACACCGCTTATAAGAAACAAGAGCTGGAGTTCCAACCTGAACAGTCTGGCTCCAGAGTCTGTGTTCCTAGCTCCAAGGCCACCCTACCCTCCAGGGCTGTTACACAGTAGGTGCTCAATGACAAGTGTCCAGTATGAGGATAAGATAAGCTCCATCCCAAGACACAGGTGGGCTTTATGCATGGCATGGGCTTTGAGGGCTGGAAGGCGGAAGAAGAAAGACAAGTCTCTATGCTGGAGTGGTTGGGGATGGATTCCTGGAGAAGGAGGCATCCTGGGCAGAGAAAATGTCTAGAAGTGGAGAGAACACAGTAGGTGATGGGGGAGGGCACGGAAGCTGCTGTGGCCAGAGAGCAGGGCATTGTGGGAGACACAGGGTAGAGAATGTGGTCTGGAAAATGATCAGGAAGGAAGCCAGGAGGACTTGGATCTGTGTGGGCGGGGCCTCCCCACAGGCTGTCTCCTGCCAGGTGGCTTGTGACTTCTGGGCTGAGGCTGTTGCTATCCTGTTTATGTTTCTCTCTCCTGGTTATGATCCTGACTTTATCTGCAGAAGTGACCTTGGGAGTTAGATGGGGCCTGCCCAGCCTCTGTGGGGCCTAAAGGATGATGGGGAGCCCCTGCCTGGCTCAGGCCCTGCTCTTGGGGTGAGGGATGAACCCACATCCCAGAAACTACCCTTGGTCTCCCTGCACCCTTATTCTAAAGGGCTCCAGGAGATGGCTGAAGTGAAGCATTTGGGAATCCTGAGACTCAGAGCAGGGCCCCTGCATATAGGGTATAGGTTGCTCACTGAACGAAGGTTCTCTGGCTAAGGTGGCAAATGGAGGTGGAAATCCAGCCCTTGTGCCACTTACCAAGCCAAGTGCCCATGGGGATTTGCCTGCCCGGGGGGGGGGGGGGGGGGGACGACGACACACCTTTTATTATTTTCACAAAGGCTCCATGTCAGCCCTGCCCCGGCTCTGTTTCCAGCCACTATGTGGCCTTGGGCAAGGTTATTTCCCTCCCTGGTCTTGGTTTCCCATTTGAAAAGTTGTCTAGCATAAAGCAGAGATGCAACCCTGATAGTGAATTAGAATTGCCTACGGCCTTTAAAAAATACCGATGTCCAAGCTCCATCACAGACCAATGATCAAATCTTGGTAGTAGGGGTGGGTGGGTTCGAGGTATCAGTATTTTTTTGAGCTTTCAGGTGATTCTGATGTGCAGCCAAGATTGAGACCCACTGTAGAAGGGCTTGAAATTTGGAGCAGAAAAGGCCTAGTTGTGCATTCAAGTTCTACAACTTACTAGTTGCACCTTCAGTGAGTCTCAGTTTGCCCATCTGCAAGGTGGGAATGACAACAGCTTCCTCATAGAGTCAGAATGCCAATTCAGTGAGAGGATATTCAGACAGTGCCTGGCACTGTGGCCAGCAAGTAGGAAGCTCCTGATCCAGGCCTTCCAGGAAGCCTGACAGTATCCATGGCCATTATTTTGCTACTGGCAAAATGAGACTGACTGAAAATAAAGGGCACAAGAATTCAGAGACTCGGAGTTAGGCTTTCTCTGTTCCTTTAATCAGCTCCTAGTGCATGGGTCTCCATCTTCACTGCACACCTGTCATCCTCATGAGGTACGTGTGATGATGATGATTTGATAGTTTACCTAATTTGTTAACATTTTAAAATTTATTTTTTAATCGGCACTACCTTCGGATGGTCCCCAAATCAAAACAATATAAAAGATGCACTTTGAGAAGTCTTGCTTCCTCCCCTGTGTCCTGCCCACCAGTCCACTCCCCTCTTCACATAGGTAACCACTTCTCTTACTTTCCTGTGTATCCTCCAAGTTTTCTTGAGGCAGCATATAAGGTCATCTATCATCATCCATGCCCCTTACACTGTTCTGTACCTTTCTTGCTCATTTAACAGTAAAGCTTGCAGATTTTTCCATAGCATTTGTGAGCAAGCTTTGAGGAAGGGTTCTTGCCCCCTTCACACCTGAGGAAACTGAGGCTCAGAGTGCTGAGTCAATGGTGTCTGAGCTCTCTCTGCCCGGCTCCAGAGAAGGTGTTTGTCCCCCTGCCCCACTGTGGCCTTCCAGGATGAATATCCTCTCACTGAATTGGCATTCTGACTACACTTCTCCAGGGCAGGCCTGGCAGGGGGCGGGGTGGGGGTGGACTGTCGGGGCCTCCACTGTGCCTGGGCACCAAAGCCATAGAGGGGCTAAAGCAGGAAAGAGAAATGTTTATAAAGTCATCCAGATGGTAACCCAGTGAGGGGATGTTCCCTGGATGGGACAATTCAGGCCTGGTGGTCGTGGCCTCCAGCAGAGTGGAGCCTCCCGGGGAACTCTGCCAGCCTCAGGCTGTGCTGGTGGCAGGGGAGGGCAGCGGAGGGGAGGCAGGGAGGGAAGGGAAGGTCCAGGGCAAAGAAGACTGAGGGGGCCCTATTCCTACAAGTCAAGGAGGGGGATTTGGAATTCAAGGCAGAATGGACATTTTGAGCAAATGTTTTCTGCTCAGGCTACCTCAGGGCTCCCCCAGGATTCTTGAACTGCTTCAGTTTGCTGACTCACTAACCCTGGACAAGTCACTTTCTCACTCTGTGCCTCAATTTCCCCAAAGCAAAAATGAAGAAGATTGGGTAGCTGGTCTTTAGTTAGTTTTGGAGCACTCTTAAAAGACTCTGTGAGGCTCTCCTTACCTTGTTGAGGAAATCTGAATGCTGCCTTGATTAGAATGGGGTGAGCCCATCTGGGCCCTGGGCCTTCCTGGGGTGGGGGCTACGAGTACAAGGTCTCTACCCTGCTCCAAATCTGGACTCCTCCCCTTGGTCCTGTGTCTCTCTCCCATCCCCATCCTCCTCTCCAGTTAGATGTGGAGTTGGGACCATACCTGGTGGGTCCCGGGGGAAGCCCTGGCCCCAGTCTGACATCGTCCTCCTCGTGCTATGGGGTCCCGCACAGTGGGCAACCGCTTCATCCTTGAGGGAGCTCCCACTGCCACCCTGGCACCCAGGACCCTTAAGGGCTGCTGGACAGAGTTAATCTCTTAATACTGGTCACAATGAGATTTCAGGGATGGTGGGAGGCGGTCCCATGGAAACTGCAGACCCGCCCAGGACCCATGCAAGGACTTAGCCACAGGGGTGAGCAAGGGGATTCTAGAGGCCCAACCCAAACAGGAATGGGAGACAGTGGCCTGGACTCCTGGGCCCTGCCCCAGCCCCGCTGTTGTCCCTCTGGAGAGTGTGTGAGATAAACCATCCGTCTCAGACTGCCTCCGTGTTCTCCTGCTACACTAGACGGAGCCATATTCACAGGGAGGGCCCTGTCACCTGTCTGGGCCTTAGTTTCCTCATTCTCCAATTGGGGTGAGAATGCTCAACCCACAGGCTTTTCTAGAAGAGTGCAGGCCTCAGAGCCTACCAGGCCTGAGTTTGAAGCTAAGCTTTTTCCACGCAGACTGTAGCCCTAGGCCAGAGACTTCACTTCTCTGAGTTTCAATTTCCTCATCCATACAATGGGCACAATCACTGACTGGTGAGTACTGATGCTCAGTGAATGTGAGTCTCCTCACCTCTTTCTGAGCCCCATCTACACTGCACAGCTGCCCCCATCCCAGCCACTTGCAGTTTTCAGAATCCCACAGCCTTGTCTCTGGCCTTTACACATGCCAGGCCTTCTGCCCAGAGCAGCGGTCACACCTCTTTCTTCAAATTCTCATCCTCTAAGTCCCATCTTAGCCATCTTCCTCCGGGCAGTCCTGCTGGCTTGGGCAGGGCCCACTCCTCCTCGCGCTCCCACAGTCCCCAGTGCTTTACATCATCGGAGTGTAATCCAGTGGTGGTCACTGGTTATTGTCTGCCTCTTCCTCTTTTGCCCCTATATTCCCAGAACCTAGCTGGAACTTAATATAATGGGTTGGATGAATAAATGAAGGAAGGAAGGAATCTGTCCATCTAATCTTTCAACATTTATCCAGCCCCTTCCATGTGCACTGTTGTGGATGGTTGAGCAAATAAAGATACAGGATGCCCAATTAAATTTGAATTTCAAATAAACGATGAATAATTATTTTAGTATAAGTATGCACCAAATAACACCTGGGGCACTCTTATACTTAAAACTCTTTGTTGTTTATCCTCAAGTTCAAATGTAACTGGGTGTTCTGTATTGGATCTGGCCATCCTATTCCCTCCTCCACAGAACTCCATTTCGGTGGGAGGCACCGTGGAAATAGTATGCAAGCAACTAAAAAAGAGACGAATTTCAAATGCTGGATGTAATAGCGCCTGGGGACTGTAGGGATTATTTCAGCATAGGGTGGTCTCTGAGCTAGGGGCCTTATCCTCAAGGGACAGTTCTAAGCTGCAGTGTGATACTACTGTGTAAAAGTCCTTTCAGGATCTTAAAGGGCACCGTGGAGGCTGTTAAACTTGAGAGAAGGGCTCAGAAGCAAGCAGAAGGGGCAGCAGAGGGAGGGCAGCTGCCGAGTCTCACCTGACAAGCCTCCACAATTTTGTAATTTGGATCTGAGCCTTCACAAACCTTCGCGAACTCGCGGCCCCACCCCTCGGTCAGCCAATGTCCTCTGCGGGGCTGAGAGCCAGAGGAAGGGGCCGTAGGGGCTGTGCAAAGAAGCGTGGCCACCTGTCTCCCAGTTGCCCTGGGACGCCGCGCAAAGCCGAAGGGCGTCCGTCAGAAAGCGGCCCAGAGGCACCGCAGCGCCGCGCTTTGAGCGTCTTTGGGCTCCTCCTAGTGGCCAACACAAGAACTGGCTCTCAGAAACTTTTAAATAACCACACGAGCTTCACCAATCACAGCGAAAGTTGCATTACAATCCCACCAATCACAGGCCCAGACGGACAACTCTCTCCCAACTCAGCGGAAGACAGCGCAACACAACTCACTTGATTTAGTTAGGGACAAGCTAAATTCCCTCCTGTCAAACACCAACACCTGGCCACTGCACCTATAAGAACGCAAGATTTTAAAACGGGTTCCCCACGGCGGTTCCTCGCTGCAGTTCCACCATCTACGAAATTTATATTCCCCACACCCGGTTGCAATGTCCAGGTGCCTTTAAAGAGGGTCCCCGGTTTTGTGCTGGCTCCCTGTGGAATCCCTCGTTTGCATTCAGGGATATTTAGTATCTTAATATTTCATATTACTATTATAAAAATTAATGTGTGGGTCCGGAAGACTGGGAAAAGATGATCTTTGGAGTTAGATACAACTGAATTTGAGTCCACTTATTAGTTTTGTAAAGTAGAACAATTCACTTCCCTTCCTTAGTCTTAAAAAGAGAATATTAAGACCGGCCAGTGTTGCTCAGTGGTTGAGCATCGACCTATGAACCAGGAGGTCACGGTTCCATTCCTGGTCATGGCATATGCCTGGGTTTGGGGCCAGATCTCTAGTGTGATGTGTGCAGGAGGCAGCTGATCGATGATGATTCGCTCTCATCATCGCTGTTTCTATCTCCCTCTCCCTTCCTCTCTGAAATAAATAAAAATACATTTTTAAAAAGAGGATATTAATAATAATATCTACATTAATTGTCACATTCCATCACCCCACCCCCTTCTCCGTTATTCAAGCCCAAGTCCTGGAGTCACTATCTTTGTGTCTTTCCTCCCATCCCTCCCAACACATCAGAAATCCAGTTCTTGCCACCTCTAATGGAATCTCAAATTTTCATCGTCTTTTCATCTCCACCACAGCCAGCCTTGCCCACAACACCATCATCTCTCCAGGTCTGTAAAAGTCTGTTCACTTCTCTTTGTCCTCCACTCTGGGTCCCGTACCCATTCTTTACCCAGAGTCCAGGGATGATCTTATAAAACAGATTGGATCAGGTCCCTCTCTTAAACTATTACAGCTTCCTATGCATTTATAACAAAACTCATAAAATTCAAAATGTCCATGGACTGAGGCCTACCCAACCTTGTTTCTGTATCTCTACATATCCAACCTAATTTCACTTCACTCGCCCCACCCCACACTAGCAGCCACACTAGCTTTGTTTTTGTTTTTCTTTCCTGTCTCAGGGCCTTTGTACATCTCCTCCACCCCCATTAAGGAGATGATTCTGTCTCCTGTATTCCCCAGGGTGCACCCCACATCTTGAACAGTTTAAAATTAAATGCATAATAGGTGCTTAATAGATATTTGTTGGATAAATGACTGAAAAGATTTTTTAGGAGAAACGGATATAATGTGCATGAAATGCTTGGTGCCTACTATGTTTTCAATGAAAAGGATCCTATGCTTATCAGAGAAATTTTGGAAAGTAAAATTAAGAGAGAAGATTAAAAATCATTTGTGCCTTTTCATTTGGAAGACTTCAACTCTTGTTAAGCAGGGTTTCTTGACCTTGGCACCATTGACATTTTGGGCTAAATAATTCATTGTTGTAGGATGCTTGGCAGCATCTCTGGCCTCTACCCACTAGATGCCTGTAGCACTCGCCCCCCCCCCCCCCCCCCCCCCCCCCCCAACCAAAATTATCTCCAGACATTGCCATATGTCCTTTGGAGTTCAAAATAACCCCTGATTGAGAATCACTGTGCTAAGACCTCTAGACTTACAGGAAATTTTCTCCCAAAAATTCAGTCTGTCTCAGTTTTTCAGTGTCCATTGGAATCACTTGTGGTCATTATTAAAAATTCAGATGCCTCAGATCCCACCTCAAGGCTCCAGGGTCAACAGTGGGCCCAGGCATCACATGTTTAATGAGCTTCCAGATGCTTCCGATGCATGGAGCCCTCAGAACCCACTTTGCAAATGCCTCCAGGAAGCCTCCCGATAATCAGATAACCAAGCACTGGGTGAGGCTCCCTTCTCCCTTGAACCCATCCCGCCCCCCCCCCCCCTTCCTTGAATTTCTCTCCTTTCCAATTACCCATCCTTGGCCATCTCTTCAAAATAGTGACAGAACCAAATCCTAGCTCAGCCAAAGCCCAAACTGCCTCATTTACCTTCAGGGAAGAAACAAAAACTGGCCACAGAGCTCAGCTGAACCCACTTATGAAATCAAAAGGAATCCTGAGGCGCTGCCTGGGAGAAGTATCAGCTTAACAGATGGTGGTGTCTCTGGGAACAGGTGCTGGGACAGAACAATCCAATGAGTCATGACTTGGCCTACCTTTCTAGACCCATCTTTCAGGCTCTTTTACTCAGGGTCTCTGTGAGCTGTTCTCAATTCCACTTCTCTCCTTTCAGGCACATGGCAGGATTACACTTTCTTGCCTCCTTGTGACCATGTGACTTGTTTTGGCCAATGAAATGTGAACAGAGGCCAGCTGTGTCACACCTGAGCAGAAGGTTTAAGAGCCAGTACTTAGGTTGCTGTGGAAGCACATACAGATATGGAGTCACCAGGAAGAGAAGAGCCCCCTGCCAGCCCATGCCAGATATGTACCGTAAGTGAGCAATAAATATCTGCTGTGTTAGCACGGAGGCACATGCTTATTTTGGTCATTGTGGCAAAGTCTCACCTATCTTTACTGAACACGTTCTTTCCAAAGCTTCACTGATATTCCTATGACCATTACAATTTGTCATATCTGAAAACCACTTACGCTATTAACACTTTTCTTAACATCAACTCACTTATTTTAACTTAGATTTATTTTAGAAGGAAATGTTATTACTACCAAATGAAACACCAGTATCATAAGTAGAAACCAAAGGGGAAATAAACAGAGTGAAATAAACTGTTATATTATATCCTGACTTAATATTGTTATCTTTCAAAGCCTCTGGGTTCTTGATCTGTTCTCTCTTTGTTTAAAAAAAAAAGGGGGGGAGGTCCCTAAGTGTGTGTCAATCTTTTGGGCTCCAGAAAAGTGGCTGAGATTGTCAGATGTTTGGAGGCAACACAGTATAGAGGTGAGAGCACAAATTCTGGAACCTGACTTTCTGGGCTTGAATTCTGGTTCTGCCATGGACTAGCTCTGTGACCTTGGGTGAGTTACTTAACTGCTCTGTTACTTTGTAAAATAGGGATGATGGTGTGGATGTCTTGGGTTGTGAGGGTTATTCGTGTTAATATACAGAAAGGTCTGTGCTGGCACATAGTGAATATTATACAGATGTTAGCTATAAAATAATGGCAGGATCAAGATCCAGATGGGCTTGGAGAGATGTTTGAATTCAGTGAAGAAGAAAGAAAAGTCCTTCACATTGATTAGAAATAAATCACCTGGACAGTGTGGATGGGGAGAGTTGCTTTAGCAGCAGGAGACATGATAAAGTTTTAGAAGTTTTCTTTGGTGGCAGCTGCCCAAACTGCTCACCCGATCACATGTGCCATTAGTGGGACGTGGTGCTCAGGCCAAAGGAGCTAAGGAGCCCTCTGTTCTCTACCCTTAAAGCACCATACGAGAACAATTGTGCTTGATGTCAATTTTAATCGGAACACTTAAAATCTTCCTAGGATGGGACAGGGTGAGAATAATTGAAGATCCAATAGAGTTCTGAGCTGTCTATTGGAGAAGAGGAGAGGGGCAGTGTGTAGAGTGGTCAAGGCCACTGCCTTTGAAACTTCAGTGGTACCATTTACATAACTGTTTGACCTTGTGAAAATTATAACTCTTTAAGCCTTATTTGCTTCATCTGCAAAATGGGAATTAATAATAGGACCTCTTTATAGATTGCTTTGTGGAGTAAATGTGATGAACTTTAGAAACCCGGCATGCAGCTGCCCACCATGTAGTTGTGTTATTTACTGAAATCAAAGTACTTTCCTTTAAAAGAATGCTGACCTATTCTTACAGCCCCAGAAGACAAACCAGGACCAACAAATGGATGCTACAAGGTTTGTGCTCAAAATGGAGACCATTTTTCTACCAGATACAATGGTTCTTACCAGGGGAAAAGCTACTTTATTAAGTAGTGAGCGTACTGTCATTGGGAGTATCAAGCCTAAGCTAAATGTCAGGGAGGATGGTGACAAGATTCCGGCAAAGGACCAGAGGTTGAATCAAAGTAGTATCTCCCAGGGGCAAAAGTCTTAAATAAAATACCGTCATAACCAAATTCATGTTGGAAAAACTGGCTTATCCACAGGCAAAACAATGAAGTTGGACTCTTAGTTTATACCATATACAAACATTAATGCAAAATGGAATAAAGACCTAAACATAAGAGCTAAAACTATAAAATTCTTAGAAGAAAACATAGGGGAAAATATTCATGACAATGGATTTGGCAATAATTTCTTAGATATGACACCAAAAGCACAGGCAACAAAAGAAAAAAATAGATACACTGAAGTACATATAAATGTAAAACTTTTTTGCACCAAAGTATATTATCAACAGAGTGAAAGGGCAACCGTGGAATGGGAGAAAATATTTGCAAATCATATATGTGATAAGGGGTTAATACCCAGAATATATAAAAGCTCCTATAACTCAAAAACAACAAAAAATAACCCAATTTTAAACTCAGCAAAGGGCTTGAATAGAGATTTCCTCAAGGAAAATATACAAATGACTAGGACGAACATAAAAAGATGCTCAATGTCACTAATCACTAAGAAATGCAAGTCAAAACCACAATGAGTTACCACATCACACTCATTAAGATGAATATTTTTTTAAAAAAGAAAAAAAACAAGTGTTGGCAAGAATGTTGAGAAATTGAAACTGATTTGCACTGTTGTGAGAATTAAAATGGAAAATAGTCTGTCAGTTCCTTAAAAATATAATTAACATATGATCCAGCAATTCTGCTTCTCGGTATACACCCAAAAGAATTGAAAGCAGGGTCTGGAATACATATTTTTTACGTTTCTTTCATAGCAACATTATTCACAAGAGCCAAAAGTTAGAAGCAAGCCAAGTGTCAATTGACAGATGATCAGAAAAACAAAATGTGGTATAAATATACAATGGAATATTATTCAGCCTTGAAAAAGAAAGGAAGTTCTGATAATTGCTACAACATAGATGAACCTTGAGAACTTTCTGCTAAGTGAAATAGACTAGTCAGAAAAGGGCGGATATTATATGATTCCACTTACATAAGGTACCTAGAGTAGTTTAATTTATAGAGACAGAAAGTAGAATGGTAGTTGCCAGGGGCTGGATGCAGGTAGGAATGGAGAGGTAATTTCTACTGAATACTGAGATTCAGTATGGGAAGATTTTTAAAATTCAAGAGAAGGAATGGTGGCGATGGTTGTATAACAATGAATGTACTTAAAGCCTCTGAATTGTACCCTTGAAATGGCTAACCATATCTTATAAAAAAAATTTAAAATTTCAGTAATGCATAAAATATTTATACTGCATCATGGTCAAGTTTGGTTTAATCCAGAAATGCAAAAATGATTTAATATTAGAAAATCTATTAGTAAATGAGGGAACTGAAGGAGAAAAAAAATGATTATCTCAGTAGATACAGAAAAAGCAGTTACAACCATTCAGCATTAATTATGATTTTAAAACAAAAATTCTAGCTTACTTAGAAGAAACTTTTAAAAACTCAATAATATTACCTACCCAAAACCTAAAGTTTAAAGTATTCCTTTAGATTCAAGAATAAGGTTGCTCACTGTGGCAGAGCTGTGAGCTGTTCTATATTATCTAGCTTCCTATCTCCCTTGTATTAAAATCGCCGTTTCTTCTATATGGACGCCTCTAAAAAGACTTATCTCAAGCCTTCCTTTGAAGCTAGGTGAGACCAGGCATGAGAATATGTTCTGGCCAATAAAATATATTCACAAATATAGTTTGGCAGTTTCAAGTAACTTTTCTTAAAAGACAGCTGGAACATGACTTTTACTCCCTTTTCTTCTTTGTCCCTTGCTCATCTTTCTGCCTGTAACATGGCTAGAGCTCTGGCAGATATATTAGACCAGTGATGGCAAACCTATGACACACGAACTCATTTTTTGGTTGATTTTTCTTTGTTAAATGGCATTTAAATATATAAAATAAATATCAAAAATATAAGTCTTTATTTTACTATGGTTGCAAATATCAAAAAATTTCTATATGTGACATGGCACCAGAGTTAAGTTAGGGTTTTTCAAAATGCTGACACGCCGAGCTCAAAAGGTTCGCCATCACTGTATTAGACCATGAGGATGAAAACCTCATGGGGTTGAAAAAAACAGTAGCTGGAAGGAGCCTGGGTTCCTGAGGACTGCTATGAGGAAGAGCAGCCACACTAACCTCAGTCTGCCTACTCTGGACTTTTACATAACTGAGGAATAATCTTCTGTCTTAAGCTCTTGCTATTTTGTGTCTCAGCTACTCACAGACAAACTAAACCCATTATTACTGCTTCTATTTGACATTTGACTGGAGGCCCCCTCAATGCAATAAGACAAGAAATTAAAAACAGATTTAATAAGATAATTTAGCCAGGTTGTTGAGTACATTTTCAATATATTAAAAGCACTTGTTAGTATCCACTAACATCAACAAATGAGAAGATTTAATTAAAAAAACATACCAGCAATAAGAATTATAACTTATCTGGGAAATAACCTAACAAAAGACCTTTATGTATTAAGATGACCAAACTTTATGAAAAACATAAAAGCAGATCTATATAAATGTATTATTTTCATAGCAGAAGGATTCACGATGTAGAGATGTCAATTCTTCCCAAATTGATCAATAAATTCAATGATATTCCCAAGCAGACAAAGCCAGTTGGCAAATTACAAGGGTAGATGACTTTATTAAAATACAGTGGAGGAGACAAATATGCCATTGGTCTCCAACCCTGGTTCTCCTCTGTCCAACCTCATCCTAAAATGTATATAAGCAAAGAGAATGGCCATGATGATGATAAAGAACAGCTGTGAGGAGGACATGCTCTACAATATGTGAAGCTAGAACTGCACTGTCCAATATGAGCCACATGACGCCATCGAACATTTGATTTGTGGCTACTTCAAATTGAGATGTGCTGACAGTGCAAAACACACATCTTATTATAAAGGCCTAGTATAAAAAAAGAATGAAAAAATCTCTATTTTTATTGAGCAGATGTTAAAATGATAATATTTTAGATATAGTGAGTTAAATATAATATATTAATAATTTTAACAGTTTCTTTTTTGAATTTTAAAAAAATTAAGTCTTTTATTTTGATATAATTATAAATTCACTTACTTGTTTTTTTTTAAATTCTTTTTAAATGTGGCTACTAGAGATAGATAAGTGGGACAATATAGAGAGTCTAGAAACAGATCAACATATATTTGAAAATGGGAGACAAAAGCAATGGCATTGCATATCAGTCAAGAAAGGATGTCAAGAAAAAAATAAAATAAGAACAAAACAAAAAAAAAGAAAGGATATCATACTTAATAAATGGTGCTGGGCCAATTGTTTATCCATATGAAAAAAAATATAATGGCATCTCTATTCATACCATACACAAAAACCAATTCCTATGGAATAACTATCTAAATATGAAAAATAAAATTTATAGAAAATATTTAGCATAATATCTTTATTATCTCAGGCCCTACAAGATTTTATAGGCAAGATACAAAAAGTACAAACCATAATGGAAACGATTGTTAAATTTAGTGATCTTATTTATCACTTAGCCCGAATAACTACATTACAGTATTACAGTTGTAAACTTCTGTACAACAAAACATTCTCTAAAGAGAGTGAAAAGGTAAGCTACAGACTGTCTAAGGTATTTTCCACAAATATAAATGAAAAAAAAATTTGTATCAAGAATAAATAACTCCTTCAAATTGATCTAAAAAAGGAAGGTAAACAATGCAGTAGGAAAATGGGCAAAGGATATGAACAAGCAGACTCTCAGAGGAAACACAAATACTCAACAGCCCCTCCCAACTGAAGTGTCAGTGGTGAGCAATTTACCAATATCTCATCCAAGTGAAGATGCCCAATGCCTGAGGTCCAGAAATTCACCTCCTGCACCTTATCCTAGAGAAACTCTCAAGTATAAGAACATTCTTCGTAGCACTGTTTAAATTGGCAACAAGCTCCATTGTTTAAAACCCGAATAAAGATACTTGGGATACTTGTACACATTGGATCAATATGGGGAGATCCAAAAACCTATTATATGAGTGAGTAAAAGGAAGTTGCTGAAGGACACGTACAACATACCATTTGAATAAATTTTCCATATATGCAAAATAATATTACATATTGCTTATGCAGCCATGTATAGTAAAAGTATGGGAACATGTCTGGAAGTGATAAACACCAAATGTTGACAGTGGTCACTTCAGAAGGATAGCAGGGCGATGGGATCAGGGAGGGCACAGGGCTTTCAACTCTAAATATAATGTTTCATTTATCATTAAAACACAATATGAACCCAATGAAAATATGGTCATGCAGTAGCATTGACAAAACTGAGAGATGGGTACATTGGTGTTCATAATATTATTCTCTATACTTTTCTATGTTTGTTAATATTTTTTTACTTTGGGAAAAAAAGAGAAAATTCACTGTCTATATGCCAGTAACAGATAATTTGGAACTATAATTTGTAAAATCATACTATTTAACATATAAAGTTGTGTTTTTTTAAAATATCTAGCTCTGGCTGGTATGCTCAGTGGTTAGAGCATCACCTCACGCACCAAAGGGTTGTGGGTTCGATTCCTGGCCCTGGTGGGATGTGTGCAGGAGACAACCAATTGATGTGTCTCTCACATCTCTCTCAATCTCTCTGTCTCTCTTTCTCTCCCCATCCCTCCATCCCTTCTACTCTAAAAAGCAATGGAAAAAATATTCTCAGGTGAGGATTAACAAAAATAAAAAATAAAATAAAAAATTGAACAATGTACCTAAGTCTAGCACTTCTCTGTAAGGGGGCAGGGAGAGCTTAAATGGGTGTTAATGTTTCTCAAAGGTCTCTGTGATGAACTAATGTGGGCACACTGGAGGCCTCTCTTAAAGTGCCCAAGTCCTGTGTTAAGGCTCTGAGCAGTTCTCTGGTAATGAAATTTATACAGTTTTCTTTAATCCAGCATTTTTCAAACATCTAACAGTAGAATTCTTCTTGTGTGAGTGGCCTCACCTTGGGGAAGCCTGATCCAGTGACCTCCAAGTTCCCTTCCAATTCTCACAGTCACCATTCTAGTTTTGGCTCTGCCAGTAACTTGCTAGATAACTTTGGCCAAATCACCTTTCCTCTTGGGCCTTAATTTATTAAGATATTATATGGGTGTGTGAAGTTTAGACTCTAAGCTCTCTTACCTGTTTCCAGCTCTAAAACCCCTCTTTGAAGCCCAGAATTAGGATGACATTTCCACTTATTCTTCCCCACTCAACTCTTTATTATTTAACTAAAAGCAGGTTCATGGTAGATGAATTGCAAAAAATGCACAGAAGCAAAATAAAAAAAAGAATTAAATGTACATGCCACTGTGGCCCTTTCTCCAAAGGTATGATGAGAGCCAGCATTTATGGAGCACTTATGTACAAAGCACTGTGCTAGGATAGGTCTATTCTTATCCTTATTTTACAGAAGAGGAGACTGAGGGTCAGAGAGGTAAAGTGTCCTGGGCAAGGTCAGACAGCTTGCAGGACTCTAACCCAAGTCTTCCTGACTCTACAACACATGTACTCAGCCACTACCACATACAGCCTCCCCATCTGAAGGGGGTCTTCATCCCTGGAGCCATTCCTTTCCTCCCGGTTCCCTAAGTCCTTCAGGATTCTCTCCTCTCCCCAGAGAAGATGTGGACATGATCTCCTCCAGGTCAGCACCATTACTGAAGAAGGATCTGTGTCCCTCCCCCAAACTCAGTCCACCTTATCTCTAGAAAAACTATGACTTGCCCTGGAGAGGGGGAAAAATAAGCCTCTCCCCACCCCAACTCCACCCCTCAAACCACTGGCCTGGGGGTAAATTCAGCAGGCTGTGGACACAAGGATGGTATGTATCTAAGTTTCACATAGACTATTGTCTTACGTGAATGTCCGATAAAGGAAGCACAATGGCTGCAAGATGGGGGCTGGGAGGTGAGATTTCCTAAGTGGAGATTCTAGAAGACAGGCCTGGAGTTCTGAATCCTGGGTCCTCCTGACAGACAGGCAGGCAGCCGGGGTGGGGACATGAGAGATAAATGTGGGGTGGGGAAAAACCCAGCCAGGGACACCAGCCCAAGAAGTTTGGCTGGGACTGGTCTGTTGAGAATGGGAAATGGAGGCAGGATGCGTTAGCAATGAACTTGGTCACTGCTTTAGAGTCTGAGGGGCTAGGGCAGCACTGTCCAACAGAAATATAATATGAGCCACATATATAATTTTAAATGTTCTAGTAGTCACATTAAAAAAATAGTAAATCTATGAAATAGATTGCTCTCACAATTAATGAGCTTCCCTTGGTCTTAGCAGTCAGGGGTTCCACACTCAAGTGCCCTCAGTGCCCAGGTAGGTAACAGAAACAAGGGGATGGCATATAAGCACACTTCATACTTTCCTACAAAAATAAACAGCATAGCAAACGCAATGTTCTGTTCATTAATGTGACTTCAGTGCAGGAATTCTAGGAAGGGTGGTGCCTGTGGCAAATTAGAGAAAGTACCGGGTCTAAGTTAGCTCTGGCGGACTTCTGCCTCCTAGGTATGGGAATCAGTGTTGCTAGAACTTCCAATTTTTGGAAAGAAGCTGGCAGTTGGGATTTTTAAAAGTTATTAGTCAATTCAAATTTTATTAAAAAACAACTGGGTGGGCCGGATCTCAACCTCTGGTCTTCTTCAAAACCTTACCCATGCCCTGGCCAGTGTGGCTCGGTTGGTTGAGCATTGTCCCATGCACCAGGAGGTTACCAGTTCAATTCCCGGCCAAAGGGACGAGCCAGGGTTGCAGGCTTGATCTACCAGGGATCATGCAGGAAGCAGCTGATTGATGTTTTTTTCTCTCTCTCCCTCTCCCTTCCTCTCTCTCCAAAAATCAACAAACTATTCTAAAAACAAACAAACAAACAAACAAAAAAACAAACAAAAAAACCTTGACCATGCTTTACAGAGGAGGAAATTGAGATTCAGAGTTGTTAAATATTTTCCCAACTTCACAGCAAAGACAAAGAACTAGTCTGGAGGTAATTTCTGCTACGTCTGCTAATAACCAACATCGATTTTTCTCTATTCTTATTGAGAATTTACTAGGTCCCAGGTTCTGTGCTGAATATATGACACCATGAAGAAGATGCTGTTTATGATGATGCCAGATTTAGACAGGGGAAGACCAGGCTCAGAAAGGTGGAGTAAATTGCCTAAGATGACACTGCGGGGCTTGAACCCAAGTCTGTGTTTGATACAAGACTCTAGATGGCCCCCACTGGCTCCACTCCCTACCACCTCACCACACTGAAGAACCAGCCTGGAGGCCAAGGCATCTGGTGGTTTTCAAGGTGAGGCTCCTCCAAAGGGCCTGGGGCTATGGGGTGGACAGCATCCTGCACCTCCACACTCCCCCCTCCCCCCACCTCCATTGTTTCATTCCTGTGAACTGGCTTCCGGTGAGATTTTGTTTGAAGAAAGAATGCCACTTTCATTTTACTTTTAACACAATGCAGACGGATCACGGATCACGAGAATTCTTGCTTCATATTACACAGTGTTTTACAAAGTATCATACTTTAAAAAGATACTAGCTTGTAAGAACATGTAATAAATAACTTCAAAATGCGGGTATTTAATTTTAAAGTGTGCGTTTTTTGTACTCATTCAATAGAAACTTATCTGGCCACTGGGTAAAGCTAGCAATAAAACTACTGGTCCCCAATGTGTTAAGTTTGAAAATTACTGATTGCCCAGGGTCCCTTGGTTTACAGGAGAAGAAACTGAGGCCAGGAGGTGGCAAGTGCCTGATGTCCCTCTGTAAGTCAGGACCAGAGCCAGGCAGAACTGGATCCTGGAGGTCCAGCCTGGCCTCCAGGCCCTGCCTGGGAAACTGCCCATTGGGTGTGCCAGGGCCTCCCTCCAGCTCCTCTGGCCTCTCTCCAGGAAGGGCCAACTGCTCTCTGTCTCACCACTTCCCGGGCTCTTCCTCATGCCTGTTTGGATAACTTTTTCACCCTTTCCTTCACAAGCTCTCTCTGAGGTATGGCTGCCTCTGCTGCCTGTCTCAGGGAATCCTGGGGCCTTGGCAGTGTGGCAGCCCAGGCTTGGCCAGTCTGGCGGCAGACAGTTCTCAAACAGTGGCTGTCTGGGCAGAGGGAGGCCTATTTACCCAGGGCAGGGCCCAGGCAGAGGCTGTAGCTTCCTCCCCATGCCACTGGCCCATACAGCCACTCAGCACACTGACTCGGCTCTCCCCATCTGTATTTGCTCATTCCACAAATATTTATGGAGTGCCTACTGTGTGCCAAGCACTGTTCTGCATGATGAGGATATAGCAAGACAGCCAGATACCCTGCTATAATGGAACTTACACTGTAGTAGAGGAGACAAATGATAAACAGACCAAGGAATGCAGCAGAGACTCCAGCACTGTAGAGGATAACAGGGTTGATACTGATGGGTGGAGGTGGGTCAGCCTTAGATCTAGGTGGTCAAGGAAGGCCACTCTCAGTGAGGAACATTGGAACTAAGACCCAAACTATGGGAAGAAATCAGTTATGGGAAGATCTGGAGAAAGGGTGTTCCTAGTAGAGGAAATAGCAAGTGCAAAGGCCCTGGGGCAGGAATGTGGTGTAACAGAAGGATAGTAAAAAGATCAGGGTGGCTGAAGTGGAGTGAGCAAAAAGGAGAAAGACAGGAGAGGCCAACAGAGAGACAGACAGATTCAGTTCCCCAGGGGCCTTTTAGGACAGGAGAAGATCTCAAGATTTCTGTTCAGAGTGACACAAGCTTCTGGGAGATGTTCGGCAGGAATTTTAAACATGATTGTATCCTGAATTTCTCCTCCAGCTTTAACTCTGCTTTTTCCCTCTGTGGCTTTCTGTCCCACGACTCTTATTTCCAGGTACACTTGAGAGTGTTTGAAATAGCATTCAATTATTCCCTTTACCTTTTTAATTTACTTTTTTTTAAATCAAAGCTATATAGGTACACAATTGAAACAAATCAAATAGTTCTATAAAGCTGAAACTATATAGCAGTAGTTGCTGGCTACTCTTTCCTGAACCTGATCCTCACCACCCAGAGGCAACTACTTGCAACTATGTTAGCTGGTCCCCCACCCCCTTACCCCCCTCTGGAGTTTTCCTCTGTATTTCTAGATATGATGGTTATGCTGCTACTTCTTGACTTTTCGGTCTTAGATGTAAGATGTTCATTTGCTGATAGGAAAGATCCTACACACTATTGCCCAATTTGGAGAGAAGTCAATATCATTGTTTTCATTGGCATAATTATGCCATTATCATTACTATAATTCACAGCTGATGTCATCTGTACATGAACTAAGGCCTTTCTTTTTTAAAAATATATTTTATTGATTTTTTACAGAGAGGAAGAGAGAGGGATAGAGAGTTAGGAACATTGATGAGAGAGAAACATCGATCAGCTGCCTCCTGCACACCCCCCACTGGGGATGTGCCCGCAACCAAGGTACATGCCCTTGACCGGAATCGAACCTGGGACCCTTCAGGCCAATGCTCTATCCACTGAGCCAAACCAGCTAGGGCTGAACTAAGGCCTTTCCATGTGTTATCTCGGTTACTCTTCACAATAACACTATAAGGTAGGTGACTCAACCTCTATGCCTCCATTTTCTCATCTATAAAATGGAAGTGACAATAATAGCACCTACCTCATAGGTCACTGTGAAGATAAAGAGTTAATATGTGTAAAGTCCTAGTAAGTATTCTATAAATGTCTACTCTTGTCACAACCCCCAGCGCACATCCATAAATGTACAGAAATAAAACAAAAGTTTTACACATGCAAAATTTACTCGCATTACATGATATACACTATGTTTTCTATCCTATTTTACTTAATTTAAAAATAATATGGTAATCTTTGTGAAATTTCATGAATCTATTTTTTAAAATACATTTTTATTGATTTCATAGAGGAAGGGAGAAGGAGAGAGAGATAGAAACATCAATGATGAGAGAGAATCATTGATTGGCTGCCTTCTGCACACTCCATACTGGGGATCAAGCCCCCAACGCGGGCATATGCCCTAACCAGGAATTGAACTGTGACCTCCTGATTCATAGATTGACACTCAACCACTGAACCACACTGGCCAGTCTCATGAATCTATTTTTGATTAATAACTCATGCTCTTTTCTGATGAACATTATACTTCAATAAAAATATTTTTAAATAGTATATTTTTATTCAAAGAAAAGGCAAAGAATGAAAATAAAAGAAACTGGTTTATTATGTTAATAGCAAATGTGCTAAAATTATTTTATCCAGCACAGTGAGGGTACATTAACAGATTTGAGACTCTAACAGCTTAGATACTGCTGATTTGTAATTTCTTATGAATACTGTTGAACTGCACTAAAGGAATACTATATCTGCCTAAAATCAAACATATGTGCTTCAAAAGCTTTTTAAAAATAATATTTGATATTTAAAGCAAAAGTCAGCAAACCATATTCCTGGGCCAAATCTGGCCCACTGCCTGTTTTTACAAATAAAGTTTTATTGGGGCCTGGCTAGTGTGCCTCTTTAATAAATAAATAAAAACAAAGTTTTATTAGAACACAGCCACACCATTCATTTATTTATTGCCTATGGCTGCATTTGTGCTACAAAAGCAGAGCTGAGTAGTTGCCACAAATCCCATCTGACCTGCAATATTTACTATTTGGTCTTCTATAGAAAAATTTACCAGCCCCTATATTAAAGTTACATTTCAAAACTCAAGCTTAAATTAAGTCTTATTCTACTTATTTCTTATTTTATATTATTTATTGGTCTAGCAAATTTTAATAATTACTTTTTCCCCAACATTTTACTTTGAAAAATTTCAAACCTACTAAAGGTTGAACGAATAGTACAGTGAGCACTCATGTATTCACACCCAAGATTCACCAATTGGTAGCATTCTGTCACAATTGCTTTAACACTACATATCTCTCTATGCACTTTTTAATTAAAATATTTGTTGCAAAAATTATATATTCACATACATATTTGACTCTGTGTGTGTGTGTGTGTGTGTGTGTGTGTGTGTGTGTGTGTGTATGTGCATGTGAACACACATGACCTCATGGCAGAAGTGGTCAACTGTATACCAACAAATTCATGCCCCCCACCCCCCATAGTTTAGAGATATTCCTGGGAAAACAGCTGCTTGCTAGGGACCACATATCCCAGAATCCTCTTCACTTGCCAAGGCCAAGTGACTAGTTCTCACCAATAGAATGTGAGTGGAAGTGATAAATGTCACTCTGGGCTAGAATCACTTCCGGGATCCCTGGGTCACTCTGAGACAGAGGTAAATAAACTTCTAATTTACATTTTTGGGTGTTTGTTCGTTAGCTAGTGTAGTTCTAACTAATGCAACCCAATAAATTGTGTGACCCATTAATGGCTCAAGATGGCAGTTTGAAACATACTGGTCTGGTCCTCTAGTTCGCTGAACATTTTTGAACCATAGTTCCTTTCATTAAATGTTTCATTGAAAAGTCAAAATGGAGCTTCTATGTTTGAAGCATCTTTACTGACTCCTCCAATGAATATTGTGTGATGATCACTAAGTAAGGCACATGCCTCCTCCATTTCTCAAAAGAAGAGGCGAGAGCCAGCAGAAGGACTAGAGTGAGGCCACAAACAGCTGCCCGGGGCCAGAGCCATTTCCCAGGTCTGTGGCCAGTGCAGGTCTGTTCTCTCCATCTCTATGCTTCCCATTTGCTCCCCACAGGCCCAAATCATAGACCAGGCACTGAGCACAAACCCCAGACATTTGAGAGCATCTGAAGGCTTAAAACTAAGCTTTGTCCTGACTCTCCAATTAGACAGTTGCATCCTGGAACCAGTTGCATATCCCTCATTCTGTTTGTTCCACAACAGCTAAATAATGCCTCTATTATTTACAGAGGAGGAAACTGAGATTCAGTAAGCATTCAGTCCCTTTTGCACAGTAGGTATAATAACAATAATAATAACAACAGTTAGAATTTACATAACACTTTCTATGTGCCAGACACATAGCACTTTACATATTAATCTCATTTAATTCTCACAACCCTATGAAGTGGATGTTATTATCATCAGCCCAATAGACAGATGAAGAAACTGAGGCACAGAAATTAAATAATTTGCCTTAGCCAGTTTTGCTCAGTAGTTAGAGCATCTGCCTACAGACTGAAGGGTCACGGGTTTGATTCCAGTCAAGTTTGATTCAGTTGCAGGCTTGATCCCCAGCCCCAGTCAGAGCACGTAAAGGAGGCAACCAGTGGATTTGTCTCTCTCACATCGATGTTTCTCTCTTGTCTCTCCCCTCTCCCTTCCATTCTCTCTCTCCCTAAAAAAAAAAAAAAAAAAAAAAAAGAAAGAAAGAAAGAAAGAAAGGAAGAAAGAAAGGAAGAAAGAAAGGAAGAAAAGAAGAATATATTCTTGGGTGAGGATGAACAACAAACAAACAAACAAACAAATAAATTAAGTAATTTACCCAATGCCACACAGC